ATTTGACATTAATACTTATCAAATCACAAAAAATCCTGTTGAATGTATTCAAGTCATTGATTATACTTGTATTTTTTTACATACATAAATTATATAATTTTTTCTTTAGATATAATAAACTTATTAATAACTTTGTCATATTTAATCTTTTATTAAAAAATATCCAAAGCTTATGTAAATGATGCCTATATTACTTTAAAAAATAAAAATAAATAGAAATAACTAGAAGTAAGAAGAAACATGTTGAAAAAAAATATCTTCTACAAAAGACTTTAAAATTTTTTATTAGATCCAAATAAAAAATATATAATATTATATCCAAAAAAAAAAAAAAAAAAAAAAAAAACCTTGATGAGAAAAATGTAAATCTTTTATCTAGTCTAACTAATAAGTCAAAAAAATATATCTTTTCTATAAAAATCTTACTAATAAAATTTTAGTATATATATATATATATATACATATATATATATATATATATATATATATATAAAAGTATAAATATTTTAAAATAACATCTCAAGTTGTGTATATAAATATTAAATAAATAAATAAAATATATTTATTTTATTATTGGGTTTTTCAAGTTAAAGCAAAAATAATAGTCAAAAAAGTAACACAAGCATAATACATACTCAATAGTAATATACATTGTCAATCTATTTGAGCAGCTCATATTACTATAGTTGATACAATATCAAATCATATCAATATCAATATGTTACTAGTCTTTTCTTTTGTGATTTTTTTTGATTAATTGTATAATCTAATGCTTTAATTATTTATTTATTCATGTTAAATGCTACCGTATGAATGAGTTTGGAGCCTACTAACATGCTACCCTAGGAATGAGCATGAAAGAGCTACTTCATATTTACCATCAAGCCCAATTTTAAGGAGATTAATTAAAAATAAATTTAGTGCCATCTTTCTTATATTTTAGTTGACTACTTGCAATGTTCAAAATACAATGCTCACCACAAGTTGTTAGAAAATGCATGGTTTATTTCAAAATCGTTTGCCAAACCGACTCGCATCCGAGTCCAGTCAAACCTTCACATTAACCTAAATTTCGTTTACCTTCCAATCCCACTTCAAAACTTCAACCCCAGAATGCTACGAATGTGTGACTCACGACGTCAGCGTCGTAAGATTTTGTTTTTGTTTATTGACATCGCTCTGGGCTTCAACTGCACCATCCTCAAGGACTTGGATCGACGTAGACCGCGAGCTTTTTTCTTGTAGCTGCGAGACACAGCTGTGAGACGGATTCACAAGCACTGGGTGCCCCTCCACAATAAGAGTTTCTGAAGCTAAATCCTTTTGTTTCAAGCTATCCGGCAAGCGGCCGACAGTTCGTTCTGGTACATATGGAAAGCTCACCAATGATCAAGTTCATCGGACAGGTCGCTCCTTTGTTTTTAGCTGGCGTAGAATTATGTCGCAATCAGATGCAGTTTCTACTCCAGCTGCTAAGCATGCATTGACGAATTCTCCACAAACGCTTCAATGCCGCCGGTCCCGTAGTCTCTTAAAACCTGCAACGGATGATTTGTTGGAGTTGGGTTTTGAAGGATTGAAGATTTGTGGCTGCAGACTGTTCGTACTGTGGGGCGGGGGGCTCGTACAATGTCGTGTGTTCGATTCCTGATAAGATTAATGTCCTTGTGCCGCTAAGCAGGAAAAAAGCAGGAAAATTTGCAAGACTCGGTGTAAGCGCTAGACTTCGCTTCTCCATCAGGGTTTCAGGGAGGGATCACTTACTTAATAGTCACGGAAATCTATCCTCTCATCTAGTTGACATGATATTTTTAGTACCTTTTCGGTGGGCTGCTGTGGAATCCACACGAATGAGCAGTGGCTCATGCGACGACTTCGACTATTAAGCACGTGCTCTTTCCACAAGTCAAATATGCAAATGGCATCACTGAAGCAGTGGATTTCCAGCTCATCCTGTGTATTGAGTCACTGCAATCAAAGCAAGCAAACCCTAGTGTTTTGATTCTCATTTTTGGTTTTTCTGTTTAAAAACAATTGAAAATGCCCATATTTTTATCGCATTGGGGAGAGGGAGAAGTTCATGTCATTTCCAGAGAGAACAGAGGACCTGGATTTCTGATACATCGAGTCTTGCAGAGTAGCTGGATTAGCATCACGATCTCTTGTACAAAGTAATCTCCTTTAGAACAAGGTTTCCAGCCCGAAAGGATATGAGTTGACAAGATACCTCACTTTCTCCTCTGATTGCTACAGGCTCCACATGAGCTGGACCTCAGCGATTTGCAACTGGTAGATTTCCCAGCCAATAGCCATAGGGCGTATGAACAGGCAAGTCGCGTTACGTTCATTCGCACATTTACAATTGCGCAACAAAGCGGTAGTCCGTGGGCCTGCAACTTGCAAGGAATGAATAAAAGGAACTCCAATCCATTATTTTCGTCTGTTCACTCCATCCATGTCCAAATATTTCTCCAGACATTTCTTTTTTTGAATATTACTATTTTCGAGTGGATGTGATCTTGTGAAAGACTAAAAGCAGCGCACAATCCCTGCAGGATTAACTTACTGGTCGCAGCTTTTAACCTTCAATATGTTTCTGAGAGCGATTGCACAGAAGCAGCTACGTAACCAACGAAATGGGTCTGCCTTCTTTTGCTTTGTCCGCATCTGCTGTTGAAACGCTTCTCGTCTAACAGCTTATCCAATGCCTTGTGTATTGAGTTCATTTCGATGGTGGGGAGTATCGAATCCGCATTTACGATGTCCACTCTAGGAATTACGAAGAATAACATTTCTTCAACCCTAGCAATGTTGGAGCGTACACTGAATTGTTGTTTGTTGACCACCACTAAAACTATCGTCCGCTTCGACATCCAGTGCTGTAATACGCCGACGTTGCATGAGAATTGCGCTCTCATCCTGCCAATTGTGCTCTTCCTAGCAGCACTAATTGAACTAGGATTTCTAATTGAATCCCTTTTGCATGGTGAACTCTTTGAATCCCGAGAAGGAGAGTTGGTGGCAGCTCGACAGGCTCTGCCAGAATCTCGATACGCAAGTACATGGTGACAGAGAGAGGTGACAGAGACAGGCTCTGTTAACAAACTTGTAGGTACACAAGAGCAAAGCCAATTCCGTTACGTGGAATCGTCATACATCTCCGGCATCATGTTGACGTGCAGAAAACTATCTCGGGAGCAGAGGGGTGGGGGCGTGAGGAGGGCGACGATGGTGCCATTCACTGCATCTGAGTGAGATCCGGAAGCAACGAATGTCTTGAGGGCTAGTCAAGGCACGCGGCTATGAGGTAGGACCCACACAGGCTGGACGCACGCCTTCTAAACCTGGCCACACGGCTTTGGGAAAATAAGGAAAAAAATAAAAAAAATAAATAAATAAATAAAAAGAAGAAGCTTGATTTCATAACAACCAGCTGCCGGAGGATGCCATGGTTCTGACTTCCTAATGAGATTTTCTGAAACGAGCAGAATCATTGCAGAAAGTCCGAAGTCGAAACCCCGAACTGCTCCATGTGCAAGTAGCATTTCACACCACACTAGCGCTCGTGATCCTACTCCTGCTCCTCCTCTCCTGTGGAGATGCTTGGATGGTGCAACCAACAGTCCTATGTGTCAATGATGTCGCTGAGCCTCGAGCAGCCGCCCATGCATGACTAGCAACGACGAACCGGCTCTCAGCAGAAGAGCATGAAACAAGACCAACCCACCCAGCGGAAGAACAATTCTTGTTGCTTCTTGTTCAAGCCTAGACCCCTTTCTTCATTCTCTTCGTTCTTTGTATTTTGGGGATTAAGTTCAGAAGCAAGGGATATGCTTCACAACCCAACCTTCTCCAAAAAATAAAAACGACCGTTCAATTTACTCCTTACCCCAACTATGTTTCCTTGCTCCACACCTGCATTCAATTTGAAATTTGGAATCAGGAGCCATTCGACTGTAAACAAAAATCTCACTCTGTTCGTAAGTAATATTAGCTTTGATAAAACACATTTTAAAGTAAAAGGAAAAGTAAAGGGAAACGGCACGAAAGCAGGGGTGAGAAACAAGGGGATCTACCATGACAGAATCGGAATCTAGATTCAGATTCCTCAATCACCGAATCCACGGGGTCGGGTATCGTTCCCCATGAATCGAACACGAGAGAGAGGAGTGGGCCTCGAGGATTCCAGCAGAGGCTTTGACTGGATCCCGATCCTGGTGGAAGGACACCCCACGTTCCCAAACGGAAACGTGCCCTCCGGATTGTCGGCCCAGGGGGTTGGTGGAATCCCGGGTCAATTTCTACCTCCCACCGGGGACCAGGACCGGGACCCGGCCCGCGTATTCTTCTTCCGCCGGCCTGGGCGAATGGCTCCGTGCTTCCCAGCCCCCTTCCATTGCCCCATTTAAACAACGTTTGCTGTGTGTACATGCTGCTTTTGCCGTATCTGCAGATCTGATAAAGCTCTTTTGGAACATAAGGAAATGAAGCATTGGTTCTTTTTTCTTTTCCTTTTCAGGCGTATGTATACATTGTATAGGTATATACATATGTAGATACAAAAATTGCATTTGAAATATAAAGTCAAACGGGTTCATATTCGGGTTTTTTTTTTTTTTTTTTTTTTTTTTAAATTTAACAGTTCAACATGAATTTGACTTGAAGTGTACCGTTTCTTATTTCTATTACTAATCGAATCATTTTGTTGTCCCCAACACTCAGAGCTTTTTTTTATCAACCCCTATGATTTCACTGATAATAATATACCCGTTTTGTTTTGTTATTATAAGTTTTTTAATAACTTATAAAAACCTGCTCACGGTGTTTTTCTTTTTTTTTTATCATGTATTGAGATTAATGTTGAATTAATGATGATTGCTTCATGCAGAATGAGCTCAGCTCATTAGTGACAAGTTTATCGGTGCCTGGAAATATTTTCACTTGCCCGGAAGGGGCGGGCAGACCTGGAAAACTGTGCATAGTCGGCCAGACGTGAAAGAGGCATTGTTCCGAGAGCTAGACAGGCCGCGTGGAGAAGTGTGTGTTTTTGTGTGAAAGAGGATGGATTGTTGATGAAGGAGACGCCCTCGACGTGAATGAGGAACAGCTGCGTGTGGTTTTTGAGTTGGGTTTCTCAGATCCAGGAATTTGCGACTAGCTTGTCGCGGCACGTGGAAGCTCTGAGGTAGGTCTCTTCGCTGCAGAGTGGTCTGCGTGGATTGTGCGGGAGTTCAACAGGTGACGGGGTTGGAGATGGCGGTCGGAGATGTCGGCTTCGTACTCCTGCTTATTGAATAGAGTATTACGATGATCAGTGTAGTCGTACAGCCGTCTTAGATCGTTTGCTCGCTGGCGGGATGGGCGGGTCTTGAAGTTATTAGTCCGTATTTCTAAGTGTCGAATTTGCTACAATTCAGAGGCTTGTAACCTTACCATTGAAGGGTTTAAGATCTAAAATCCTCGATAGGTTGGCATTTAGTTGAAAGTGGGGAGCTTTCGTGCCATCGCGAGCCTGTGGAATCACTGTCGCTGTTGTAACCAATCTGCACCTGGGTAAGATTGGGTGCTTTGCGAACTTTAAGATCCATGTAGCGTAAGTGTTAACCTCTATTGAGTGTTGCAGAGCGATTTCTGTGGTTTCCACGGAGAAGTGGATGTCGAGGCGTGATAATTGTCGAAATACAGTCACATAGATTCCCGGTTAGTCGGGGATAGACGAGGAAGCGGATAGTGATCCCGTTCGTTGGTTCTTTGGAAGACATCAACTACATCGTGAGTAAAATTTGTCATTAGGTGTGTAATTTCGACTTCCTCGCCGCTCTAAAGAGCCCATTTTCATGTACGTGTTCGGTGCAGAATCTCCCTCACCTTTGCATTGAGGAAGCCGAATAGTACTGTCCCTGAAGATCTGAATAAAGTAGATCATAGTTTCCCCATAGTTACTAATTGTTATCTCTAATTTTTGTTCATCTGCGGTTTTGAAGGTGAAATCGTTACTTGAGAGGGAAGTGGGTGAGCACTATCATCATGGCACAGGTCGTAACACCGAAAGTGGAAAAGCCACAAGCAGCTTCAAAACTATTGTATATTCTAGTACAAGATGATCCAGAGCCAGGAGCCAAGGAGGGAGAGCAAGGGCCGACCCACCGCTATACGCGAGGGATGCTTCAGAGTACTCTTCAGTTTATGGGGTGCAAGGCTCGGCATGCTACGAAGGTATTAAGATTACTGGAAATGAGAGTTCTGATTGTGCAACCTGATGTCGCCTTTCACAGCTTAGGGTATCGCCATAGCAGAAATTGAAATTTGGTACATGAACGTGCCAAAAGGCACATTTCTACATTGGAACATGCATCGTCTCGGGATGCTATGTTTCATGGGGAGTTTAGACGAACTTACAACTTCTAGTTAGAAGCAGTCACATGAATGACCTAGATTTGGGACTAGTGTTGCATGTCAGAGTGGCTCTGACCTGCAAGACATTAACTTCAAAGTAATGGGTTTGTGCAGATAAGTGATCAGGTTTTTGAAGTGATCATGAGCCAAATGCCTCCCAAGAAACCCAAGCGAGCCAGGTTCCCAGGTCTGGATGAGGTGCCAAAAAAAGACGAGAAGCCAACATTGTACGATCCCAAAGGGTTCGTGGTTAGCCCCAAACCGCTAAAGAAGCGCTCTACAGCAACTGTACCCAGAGAAAAGTTCCTCGATGTTGTTTGCGACGGGCTTAAGAAGTACAAATATCATGGAGTCAAGCAGCGTATGGATCTCATGGTCGCCTGCCGGTATGCGTTTTCACGCTTAGTCCCTACACGCTCATTTGATAAGATAAATTATATAATTAGATCTACCTTAGTCGAAGTAGGATTTCATGTTTATTTATAACTAATGACACCCGAAAATTGTAATGGTGTTTTTTTTGTTGGGGGGATGTTTCAAAAGGGATGATGGATTTGATCCCTGATGTGGCAGTATTCGTGAGAAGAGATCTTCTGTCACTGTTCTATTGTGTGGAACAAGTGGGTGTGGCAAGTCGACATTGGCGACACTGCTGGTACGTTCTCTCCCTGTGTTTCAGTGAGTTGCTCTACAGTGTGTTGCGTGTTGCTGTACTTGGTATGTAGCTAGATATTCATATGACGATGGCAATAAGGATAGTGACCCATATACCTCTCATAGCACGATTTGTCAAAGTAACGGTGATTTCAGACCCTAATCGACTACCCCTAAATCTTGTGAGAATTGCAGGGACAAAGGCTTGGGGTGACCACAGTAGTATCCACCGACTCTGTCCGGCACATGATGCGAGGTTTTATTAGTGAGCAGGAAAACCCATTGTTGTGGGCTTCCACTTACCATGCTGGAGAATTTCTGGATTCCCAAGCTGTGGCAGAAGCAATCCGTGTGAAGAGAGAGAATATGTTGGCAAAGCTTGCTCTCAAAACGGCTGCAGCAAACACAGAAACTCCTGAAGGCCCTAATAACACTGGAGATACATCTGAGGGTAGTTCTCATGAGTTGGAAGTCGCGAGTGAGTCGGTAGATCCCAAGGTTATGGCAATTGAAGGATATAAAGCTCAAAGTGAAATGGTAGTGGACAGTGTTGATCGACTGATTACATCTTGGGAGTCGAGAAAGGAATCTGTTGTCGTGGAGGGTGTTCACTTAAGTATCAACTTCGTAGTAAGTATATAATTTGAAGCTCGGATACGGTTCCTTCATTGCAAATCTGATTCAGATTACCGATTTATGCCCTTTAGTTCCTTCGATTTCTTGCGTAGTCTGTAGAGGGTAATCCGTATTCTTACTCTTGGTTTTTGCAGATGAAACTGATGAAGAAACATCCCTCGATTATTCCATTCATGGTGTACATTGCCAAGGAAGAAAAACACATGCAAAGATTTGCTGTTCGTGCAAAACAGATGACAACCGATCCAACAAAAAATAAGTACGTGAAGTACATAAAAAACATAAGAACCATTCAAGACTACCTGTGCCGAGGGGCGGATAAGCATTTCGTTCCCAAGGTCAATAACACGAACGTCGACAAGAGTGTGGCTGCAATTCACTCCACCATCTTCAACTGTCTGCGCCGCCGAGAGGCAGGAGAGTCCCTCTTCGACCCGAAAACAAAATCATCGAAAATTATTCACGATGAGTATAACAAACAGTTCGCCTCATCAGCCTTGGGATCCAAGAATATGTACAAGCTGATTCAGCGCAAGAGTTCCTCACGCAATCTGCTGGCCGTCGTAAGATGTGATGGAACAGTGGAGAAGGCATGGCCGCTTGTTATTCAGGTCGCAAGGCCTTCTCCAGGCAGTCTTTTCGAGTCTAGAGGTGTTGGTACGCCAATGGTAGGACCGTTATCGGTGGTTTCTTCTGAACCCGTGCGATTAGCGTTTGGTGAGCTTGATTTAAATGAATGGCTTAAAAAGGACCCCCGTAAGACCTCTGAACCTCAAGAACCCTCTTCAGCCGCCGTTCAGGAGGAGAATGGAGCCGGAAGTAGCTCTTCGAAAACCCCTCTGAATGAGGTAATGTCCTTCACCAGCGCGTGAACATGTTCATAGTTTTTCGGTGACTGCATCCATCCGGCTTGGATTTTTCATCTTGCCTCTAACGTAGCGACGAAATATACTTCCTGCAGAAATCGAAGGACGCAGAGGTATCAGGAAGTGAAGACGAGTACGATGAGGAGGAAGAAGCGGTAAAGAATCAAAAGGAAACTCCTGAAAACGAGAAGGAAGACAGCGATGTAAGATGGTCAACGTGCCCATGAATCCTCTTCATTTTTTGCATAACAATCGATAATTGTCACTTTTCCACAAACAGAACGTTCATTTACTGGCATCATACAATTGGCTGTGAACTGTTAATTAATATGTGCCAAATACTTGGTTTTCAACACCCAGATGCTACGTTCAGAACTCTGACGTTAACCATGCCGTGTGGTTGTTACAATAGGAGGAGGGATCTGTTGATGGTGGCAGTGATCGTTCCGAAGGTGAAGATGACTTCATTGAAGGGGAGGAGGACGACGCATACTGGGTCTACGACGAACCCACTCCCACCGCCACTGGAACTCCAGGTAGTAAATCAGAGAGAATGTCACGCTTGCGCTCGTTTGACAGGGCAGCGGCGGGGCGAGGCGCACCCGAATTGCGCAAGGTGGTTTCATACAACAGAGCCTCTTCCAAGAGGCATCCTCCGAAGCGAACGTGAAGTTTGATGACTCTTCACCGCTCTAGCGTGGTCCTTATTGTGAGCTTTACTGTGACATTTGTTGCGACGTTCGATGATTCATTTACATTCTCGCGAGATTGCACTAGGCGCATGTGGTAGTGATTCTGCACAAGATGCTACATGTCCATAGAAAATACTCGCCGGCATTTACAGGTTTTCTATGAGTGAGAACCTTTCGTGATTCTTTCGACTTGTTTCCTTTAACCTTCTAGAATCTGGCCTGAAACACAAGTCTAAATGAGGGTTTCAGATTCCTCTACCGTTAATATTCTGTCTGAATTGTTGCATTCATTCTTGCTTCGCAGCTCTCTCAGGATAGAAATCGAGTTTGTTTATTTGTTTGTTTGCTTTCCTCCAAGAGTCTCGAAGTGTAAATTTCTGTCTCCCACTGAATTTGTCAGTGATGATCCTCTTAATCGCACATTAATAGCTCTATTGATTGAGAGTTTTTGTTTGGAACTCTGTTTCTCTCGAGCCCACTTCTTTTGTAAGACAACAAATGTATTACTAGTTGATCAATACTCATCATTAAATGCACCATTAGATCATGAAGTTGTTTAAAGCAAAATATTCCTACACTTTTGAGACGTGTTTTTCTTATCATTGTAATACCACCAAAGCAACAATCCAAATTATCCAATTCAGCGAGCATGGGAATCATTTCAAAAACAATGTAAATTTAATCTGGCATTTCTTTATTCTTAATTTCTTTACTGAACAAGTCGTTGCCTTGAAGTGATGCCGTTAAAGACGAATCTGTGTAACCATTGCAAGTAGAATTTGTTAAATGCACACAATTCATTCGAACTTGTTGCTCTAACCTCGTGAGGTTGTGCTTTCAGTGGATAGAATTATTCTTGAATATCCAAGTGCCCTCTCCCATTTGTTTTGCATCGAATATGTTTCAAGAAGGCCTGATTCTTCAATTTGGCACCATCGTAGATCAACTATTGGAGCCATATGGATATCATATTATGTATGTATGTATATAAGTGTATACACATTAGAAAGAATATGAGAGCTTCTTTCCAATCCAGGCTGATATCGTTGTTACAAAATTATGAATTCTCATCTTTTAAAAACTAGATGTAGTAAAAAAACATTGACATCATGATGAATATTTTAAATACAAACATTTTATTTTTGAAAATTTTTCTTTTTACAAAGTTCCTAAAGACCAACATTTCTTTTACCAAGGAAGAGAGTTTTGTAAGGTTTTTGGATCATGGCATTTTAAAATGAACTTTTTGATATGAAGAGCCTTTGAGTTTTTGTCTTTACATAGGATCAACAAGTAAAAATATTTTATGACAATGATCATTAAGGTTAAAAATCCCTCGATATATATATATATATATATATATATATTTTCTTTCTTTCTTTGATTTAATTTTTTTGTATTAAGGATCTCATAGATTAATTATTGAAAAGACATGACAAATGAAGAACGTTGATTGCTGTTTTTTATACTTCCAACAAGAAAGTATTTTTTCTTCATTTTTTTAAGGTTTTGGATCATATTTATATGTTTAGTTATCTAAATTTAATTTTACTTTTGAAGCTTCTAATTAAATTTGAATATCTATTTTTATATTTTATATTTTTAAATTAAATAATTTCATTCAGATTTAAAATTGAAAATAAATTTTTAAGTTGTAATACAAACTAATCTTATAACATTGCATCTTTTATGTATAAGTGGCTTAATTTTGGTGAATGAAAATTTTTAAAGTCCAATATGAATTGAAATCTAAGGTTTTGATAAGAATGTTGTATTTGATTCTTGTACTTTTTAACTTGTAATAGATATATTATTAAAAATAGGCTTGCCATTTGGAACAATCCCTATGCAAGTTCCAATCTTTTAACCTCTTTTTGGTAGAAGAAGTAAGAGCAATGTCTTTGTAATATGGTACATACCTTATTTGGTGAGAAATTGGAAATTTTAGAAATTTAGCATATCTATTGCATATATGCTTGAAAATAAGAATCTTGAAGAACTAATTAATAACTATGATATCTAAATGAATAAATGGAAATCATGACTTAAATTATGTTATTAAAATATTTAACAATTTATTTTAAGGCTTATTTATTTATTTATATAATTAATAATTTTTATATTAAATTTTTATAAAAAATTATAATTTATAGATTTATTTTTAAATTTTTTACTATTTTATATATTAAAAATAGATAGATACATAAAGACAATATTTTTAATATTACACTAGTAAAAATAATAAAATATTTCAAATTCAAAAAAAATTATCATATACTAAGTATTTCTTTATAATTTCTTCAAAATATTAATATAAAAGAATAAATTTTATATTATCAAATAATAAATATTTTTTAGATTAATTTATTTATATATTAAAAATAATTTAATATCAATTATTTTTATTTATAATATTAAATAATAAAAAAAATTATACATCTATGTATAATTAGCTACAAATAAATACTAAATGTCATGGATATACTATACAAGAAACCAAATAAGATGTTGAATGAAAGAATTTTAACAAGAAAGCTAAGAAGAACTTGATTAAATTTGATTAGTACAAAATCAATACTAAGAAGGTGAGTTAAAGCTCTAAGAGATGTGTTGTTGAGATTGTGGATCCCCTCAACCTTGATTTTAATATATATATATACTAGGTATTAAGAAGCTTCTTGAGAAGTTTTCATGTTGCTGTCACGGACATACATATAATTACCTATATGAGTAGATAAAAGTAGGTTAATTGTGTAATATCTTCTAGAGAAGCTTCTTAGAAGCTTCATAGACGCTGCTTTGACTTTATAGGAGTCTATAGTTGACTTTTAGGTTAGAAACTTGGTCAACAAGTTAGCCATGTACCACACATGTTGGAAGCTTAAAGAACAAGCTAACTACGTGGTCCATCCATAGAAAACTTGCCTTGCAAGCAAAGGCATGTGGCCTAGAAAGTCAACATATATTGGAGGTCTTATAGAACATCGCCACGTGGCTTCTAGTTAGATAGTATATATAGAGGCAAGAGTGAAGCCCTCTTCACTCTTGTCAACTCCTTTCTTGCTTCTAGTCTAGTTTCAAGGGTCTCTAGTTTTCTTGTATTTTGGCAATAGCCATTCCAGTTTCTTTCTTAATATACATATTTCTATTTTGTCCTATTTCTTTTTGAGAAAAGTCTCACTTACTCTTTAGCTTTCATCGAGTTCTTGTCCTTGACAGATTGACAAGAGTGCAATTACAATATCAGAGCTTTGTCTTTTCTTGATTAAGAGTGGATTACCCCTTTTTCTTGATAAGACATAAGCGCATTAGAAGTTGCGGATTACCCTCTTTTAAACTGATATTGTTCTTAGTATTTTCTTTGTTATCAATTCCTCTCTTCTATTTGTTTTGAGCGTTATTAGACATCTTCTCTTTTCTAAGTGCTACTATGGCAGAGCTTGTTGAAATGAAGAGTGCAATGGCACAGATGCAAGAACAATTGAGGGAGTTAATGCTTGCGATGCATCAACTCAATTCACCACCACAAGGAGCAACAAGAATGGTAGGAAGTGAAGATATAGAGATGATTGGGGCTGCTTCAACATCTGCACCAAACCATGTCCCTTCTCCCAGAATGAAACACCCTTCGAGTGTTAGAGAACCGAGAGTTGCCTTGCCCGAGAAGTTTGATGGTACCAGATCCAAGTTTCGAGGATTCATCAATCAGGTCCAACTAGTGATTGAACTTCAACCCCAGAGCTATCCAACTCCAGGGTCACAAGTTAGATTCATTGGTACACTTCTTTCAGGTTCAGCATTGTCATGGTTTTCATCTTTTCTTGAACGACGAGATCCAATATTGGATAATCTGGAGGCTTTTTTGGCGGAGTTTCGATCCATGTTTGGAGAACATGATGCAATTCGTGTTGCAACCAACAAGATCCATATTTTGCGACAAGGCAATCGATCAGTAACATTATATGCTTCGCAATTTTGACAACTTGCAACTGATATCAAGTGGGATGATGCCGCACTTGTGAGTCAATTTCTCTACGGATTACAATATGAGGTAAAGAAATTGATGCTTAATTTACCTGATCCTCAAACATTGAGTCAAGCAATTGACTTTGCTGTGAAGTGCGACAATCGACTTTTTGAATTTCGATCCGAGAGTCGCACAAGTGGGCCTCAACGTTACTACAATTCAATGGCAACACCGACGTCTCCTCAACACATACCTTCAGAAGTAGAGGATATGCAAATTGATGCGGCACGTTTCAAACCTCTTACTGAGCAAGAAAAGTCTCGTCGTCGACAAGAAGGATTGTGCTTATATTGTGGAGAACCTAAGCACACTGCTCAACATTGTCCAAAGAAGCGACGTAACTACAAAATGAGGAGTACGGCTGTCAAAGAAGACAGTATGTCAGAAAACGAGTACGTCCAGCTACAATAGGGACCGTGCGGCTAGAATCTTGTACAATTTCTAATAAAGGTCCTATCCTCTCCTCAGAACCATCTCCTTGTTTTATAATAGATGTGCGTTTAGGACCTAATAATTACAAAGCCTCTGCCTTGGTAGATTCAGGAGCCTCATCTTGTTTTTTAGATGAAGAATTTGCTAGATGTCATAGAATATCATTAATACAAAAAACTAAACCTGTACACGTAGAAGTCATAGATGGTCGTCCGTTGTCTTCTGGAGATGTAACTCACGAAACACTTCCTGTAGATGTAGTAATAAATGGTCATAGTAGTTGCGTAATTTTTAATATAATTAGATCTCCCTCTAATCCAGTAATTTTAGGCTTATCATGGTTAGAAAAGTATAATCCTCGAATAGATTGGATTTCTCGTAAACTTGATTTTCCTCAGAGCATTAGTAACAGTTCTATTAATCAAGTAAAAAACCATGAGTCTAGTATAGTAAAACTCGCACTTATAGGTGCAAAAGCATTTATACACGTAGCAAAAGAAGGATCAACTTTTGCTATTTATGCTGCACCTATTTCTGAAAGCGTAAAGACTTCAAGTGGCATTCCAAGTCAATATCAGGATTATCAAGACGTTTTTGAGAAAAAGAATGCAGATATTCTTCCTGAGCATCGTCCATACGATTGTTCAATCGATCTCAAGGAAGGAACTCTGCCACCATTTGGACCAATTTATAGTTTATCGCAAGATGAGTTGGCTGAACTCAAGACATATATTGACGAGAATTTAGCGAAGAATTTCATACGCCATTCAAAATCTCCAGCAGGAGCTCCAATTTTATTCGTAAAGAAAAAAGATGGATCTTTACGAATGTGTGTTGACTATCGAGGACTCAACAAGATCACAATCAAGAACAGGTATCCATTACCTTTGATATCAGGACTCCTTGACCAGTTAAATCAAGCTAAGATCTATACAAAAATAGATCTAAGAGGAGCATATAATCTAGTACGGATCAAAGAAGGAGATGAATGGAAGACTG